CCCCCCTCGCCGATACTCTTTCTTCTTTTTCATTGTCTCTTGCTTCTTACTCTCTCTCTCTCTCTCTCTCTCTCTCTCTCTCGTCCGACTCTCGTCCTCTCTCCTGTCTCCTACGAACATGATCCGGTCGTGATCACCCTTCGACCCGCGATCGATATTTCCGGAAGCAAACACTTTCGTTCGCGCGCTCTCAGCGACGTTCAATGTGTCGCGCCGTTGAAGACGTGGCGGCGAAATCAGTGCTTAAAAGAATCCGGACTTTACGCACGGCCGTTACGCGACGGGCAGTATTGCATTTTGCAGACGCGCGTTATAGAGAGAGGGAGAGAGAGAGAGAGAGAGAGAGAGAGAGATGCAAAAGAGAAAATATATATATATAAATATACATAGAGATGTACACACAACGCGTATCTATATTATATCTCTATCGTACTTTCTCTAAGATGTACATCTATTCATCTCGTGCTCATTAATATTTAAGGATAAAGACTATTTAATTATATCTCTAATCTCTCAATTATAGTCATTGTATAAACAAGTATGAATAGCCTCACACATTAATGTTAATACATGCATATATATATATTGCGTACGTTAAGGTATTTTAAAAGTTACTCTTGAACTTTTTCGATTATAAATACTAAATGGAAAGATGTTATTCTATGATGAGATATCAGAGACGCGATAGTGACGGAAAGGCTTGCTTTATCGGTCAGACGAGGAAAAGGGCAAAAAATGTGGTTGCGAACGAAATATGTATGACGTGTTAGGACTGCCAGTACGTTCCGCTAAAAGAAATGAAAGAAAGAAGGAAATTGGACGGCAGTCACACTCGGGACGCGGTCAATTGTACCTTAAATCGAGAGAGAGAGAGAGAGAGAGAGGGGGAGAGAGAGCGATAAAACGGAAGAAAATATAAAAAAAGAAGATTGAAATTCGCACGATACGAAAGAGGAGGTCGAAACGGCACGATCTTAATAACGTGTGACTGTTACATAGCCATCGCGAGCCGAATATTATCCGATTAATTGAAACACGAGCGATATCAAAAGGATCACGATCGGCGGAAGGAAGAAGAAACGAAATTTGAAGGGAAATGGAGAAATAAAATTGGCAATTTCACAGCGTATGGAAATCGTCCATTCGAAGAATAACATCTCGTTGTTTCTCGTGTCGACTTGAAGCCACGTCTGGCTCGCACGGATTTCCTCGGGATTTCCTCAACACCAGCTCATATCAATTTCCTTCCCGAGTGCAAAATGCCGGTATCGAAGAAACACACGAGTCATGTCCGCACGATCATTCCGATTTCGTTCGTTGATTTAGCGTAAGAATCGTTCTCTGCGCGATAACCGAACCTTTTATGTACTTTCCCGTCGTAATTAATTTGCGCGTCCGGTACATCCGTCTCTCGTTCGCGACGTCGACGAACGTTCAGTCTCTCGGCGGACCGTTCGTCGCGAGACGACGATTGGAAGCGAATCGCGCGAGAAGGGACTGACCGTGTCCAAGTGCAAAAGGTGGGACGAAGTCCGATTTTGCCGAGCAGCCGTAGTGACGTCGTTTAGCGGAGCCATTCATCGGGATCCCGGGAGAAGCGTGCCACACGCGACAGAGAATCCCCGCTTTCACCATTTTGATACGATAACGCCGACATAAGGGAGAAAAAAGGAATCGAGAAAAACCTCATCGTTAGGACACGCACATGCGCAGCGACTAAGCTCATTTTCTATCCGGAGGGAGAGGGGTCGAATTGCGTATCTTCGTTGACCTTTCTCACACCTCCCGCACTTTCATCCCGTGTGA